GGAGACTAGGAACTGGAAAAAGCATGGAATCATTCTGCACAAAAATACGATATAGGAAGTTTAAAAACTGAATAACTCCCCAGAAACTTAACAAATCTAGTAAAAAGGATGTACGAAAAATTCGCACATTTCTTACTTCCCACCTACCTTGGTTGATTAGACGGAAATCCACCCGATGGATGAAAACCACCGGTTTGATGAGGCTGGAAACCACCGGGTTGATGTGGCTGAAAACCGCCGGCTTGATGGGACTGCCAACCACCAGCTTGATGCGGCTGAAAACCGCCAGCTTGATATGGCTGAAAACTGTACGGTAACGAATTGATGGATAAAAATGGTTAGCATGTGCCCGCCTGACATGATAACCTTCGGCTGGAGGATTATTCCAATTAAAATGATAATTTCAGAGCAGTTTTATCAGTTTCAGTCTTACTGAAGTAAGATAGTGTTTTGCTGTACTATATTCAGAAAACTCATGAGCAACTTCACTAGCTACAGCGAAATCGAAGCCAGAGGTAAAATCAGCCAAGACTGAGTTATAAAAAAACGAACCTGAACTCCGGCAGCATTTGTCCTTGCAGCACTCGAGCCTCGGCTACTTCCGCCTATCTTAATCTTACGCGCATCACCAATTCCTTGCGCTAGGAACAATATTAAAAGAATAAATTCGTGCATGTTAGCTGAAAGAACAAGCAATTTCCAATTTAACCAAAAAATCCGACACGTGAAGGAGCGTCAAAAGATTAGGGACAAAACAGCACGAAAATCGCAATGATTTTGCGAATTATTGAAGAATCAATGCCACTGAGACGCATCAGATGCCAGCATTCGAGTTTGGCTGTTTAATTTTAGGCTACGTGCATTCAGCTCTCAGTCTCGAATTCAAAACCTATGTTGTAAATCTTTTCGAAAGGCGCCAGATAAAGAACATTAAATTTTTCGGCAGAATCAGTTGATTTTTTGAAGCTAGCCATATTAGGGTAAAGTTGCGTCTCCTGCTACCACTGGGATGCAATGCTTAACGTGGGACAGAGGCATTAAGAAAAAGGACAAAGTCATTTGTCAAGCAAAGCATAAAAAATTTACCCAGTTTTTAATATAATTTTATATTGTCATTTATTTCATAATTAATATTTCTATTATACCAAGAACATTAAGATCATTTGGGCAATCACTGTGGGACATAGCATGTTAGTGATGTTGCTGGGATGCCTCCTCACGCCGGACATAATAACGCCGGCCGTTAGATCATGGACTGCACACACCCCCAGTTAGTACCCTCGCCTGTTCAGTGCCACCAGTTTGAAAGCCGTCGTGGTCAATTAATTATCATAAGCAACATTCATTAGGATAAAACCTAACTTTAATAATATCGCCATTCCAGATAATTCTTAAATCCTGATGTAGACTTAGTCAACTGAGCGTAGCTGGTTGCTAGGTAGGTAGTCAGTGGCCCAACAGAAAAGTTTAGAAGCAGCATAACAGCAAATATTTATCCAGAAGACTTCCGTCTTTCTTCTCAGCTACTTTCACTCCAAAAATATACACATTTTGGAACGAATTTCCTAGCAAAAGGCAGTATTATACTGAAGTCATCGTGAATGCTGAATCACCCTGAAACTCTCGGTTACTTCGTAACAGAAAGTGAGCAAACGCAAGAAAAATGGGAAAGGTGACTCTGACTTCCCATTTACATAAATACACTCCTAGATTTCTCACTAAAACTCGTGATAACCAATCATCATGCAAATTAGTAAACCGGTATAGCAAAAAACCATAAAGTACTGCTGCACATGAAGCCTCAAAACAACTGAGTTAGCAATTGATACACAAACACGAACACACATATGTATATACATACACTTATACTTATGTGCGCGCCGTCTACGTCAATGCGGGACATTAAACTCAAGTCACGCCTGATGTCAAAACGAATTTCCTGTAAACTTCGAAGCAACGCTGAATAGGTGTGATTGAAAATGAAGATTAATTTTCAGTGCCTATTAAGAAGTCATTGGCAACTTTCGTCGGTCTTTTTTTGGACAGAACAACCGACTGAACAATTTTTATGCGTTTTGTGCTGTGTAACAGCAGTACAAAACGCATATTGTTACGGGGTTGTCT